GCTTGATCACACATCAGTCCGCTTCACCATGGACACTCAAAGGATGACCCAAGCAGGAAGATAACAGAAGAGGAGAACACTATGGGCTCTGCATCACATGAACGAAGCTTAAAAGATAACTATGGGGTAACCTTTTTTTCCCCATAGTTCTCTTTAGGGTCACAGGAGGGCATATACTAATGTGCTTCCATGACCCAAAACTCAGTATATAACGGCTATTGCCCACTATATGCTGAGAGCTCCTCAGCCGGGATGGATCCCGACAATGCTGACAAGATCCACCCTGCTTGCTGATTGACAGAAGGCTCTGCCTATCTAGAGGCAGAGCTAGCTATGCCCGCCCCCTCCCCCATCCATTTCTCCAGTCAGTGCTGGAGGATCGAAGAGGATGGGGATCCCTGGTGGGAACGACTGACAGTCACTGCTCTCTGCAGGGAGATGATTGGGAAGAGAGCGAGCGACGGTGTGTTATTGCTCACTTAACGATCAATATAGCTGACGTGTGACAGTTTCAAAGTCACACATCGGCTCTAACTATGGGGATGAGTGTAATTTACTCTCCCCATAGTTCTCCTTTAAGGTAAGTAAAAAAGGGCTTTTAGATAGGGATGCTACTTTCAGTAAAGCCTTTCATTAGAGTTTTCAAAACATAAACATGACAGATGGTTATTTAAGCCACTGGTGTCTATCAAAAACTGAAAGGTCAGTGTCAAGGATCACACCCATGGCAGTTTGCTAAACAGGGCGAGAACTTTGTTTAGTGGAGAAGGAATGAGGAGAGAGAGCTTGCCTTGAAAAGGTTAAACAAGGCTGTGAAACAGTTATCACAACCTGCAATACTACCAGCAACCACTAAAGAGAGACTCACCCAAATCTAGAAGGCTGGACGCATATAGGCAGATACAACTCTTGAATACAATCTGGTGTACTTTAGGGTTGTCTGGCATCTAGTCAATTCCCATCCTTTTCTGAGATTTCTCTATCCTTTGAAATGCCTGTGCACTTTTGCCCTGCCCATACAGACATTCACACACCAGACACCCGACTAAGGGTACCTTGTCACCATCTACAGTTTGTCAGCTGACTTGTCTGCTAGGCAACCATACACCCGCACAGATCCCTGACAACCGAGCAAACAGACCCTAGTAACATAATGCAACAATCTCTCTAGGAGTTATAAATTCTTGGCTCAGTACGCAGAAGGCCACTTATTAATGTTTATATTTAATGTTCCTAGGTGGGCACAGCATAGAAATGTGTGCAAAAGTAAACATTATAAAAGTAATGATAGACAGAAATATTGGCAAATTGCTATAGAATTAAAAAAAGTGAGAAAAACAGAAAATAACTTCATCATTTGGGCAGTATGATTTATCCTGTTGGTGGGAGCACACCAAAAATGTTCATAATTACTGTGTTTCGAACAAGCTCTTGATGAATTATGCAGTTTATTTTCATGCTACTTAAATTATAAAGTTAGTAATGTGGGACAAACTATTTCCCCTTGACCAGTCCCCTTTGGAGGTATTAACCCACATGGTGTGAGGAAAGTTCTTTGCCTCTTGAAGTGGTCAAAGGTTATGTGAACCAGTCAGTTTTGATGGTTGGGTTGGAGTTAGATTTCTGACACCAACACATCATCCTGATCATCCAAACACCACATGTTTTCCCCGAACAGGGTCCATATAACTGTTTGTCAGGCCTTAGGTGATTCCATAAGGCCAGGACATACCATTTGCATCTGCATGTAACTCATAGTTAGTACTATCAGAAGGAGAAACTCTCATTTCGCCATGACTAATATTTTGGATCTTACGATGGATTAAACATATTTTCTGTTATATTTGGAAAATAACAAAAAATTGCAAACAATTTGGAGCCCAACAGCCACACAGTCTCAGAGGAGCCTTTGATGGCTTGCCATCCCGGCAAGGTGACAGTTATCTAAGTATATCTACAGCCACAAGCCTACAGAAGATTTGTTAGCAGATAGGTTCTAATGCCGGTCTGTAGGCCTATTCAAATTGTGAACTATTAACATTTGTCTACTTGTATGAATTAAAGGCTATATTTTTTTCCCCCTCCAATGCTGCTTTAAGTACTTACCTTATGTGATGCCTCTTGATTCGAACATCTTATATCTTTCACTCATTTCCAACAGTCCCTCCAACGCTGGTGCCGCTTTCTGATCCAGGGCAGACTCCTATATCTTCCTGGGTCCCAGGGAGTCTGTCCTGTGTGCACACTCCCTGCTGTGTATACTGTGCCTCTCCTCCTCTCCCATCCGGTGATATCGAGTGCACATGGGCCCGCACTCACTCCCACACTTACTCCCTCCTGCATGGCCGTTCGGGAAGCAGGGTTCTGCAGCTGGAAGCGAGTGGCGCAGACTCAGGTAAGTAATTACATATTTGACAACTTTTGTTTGTTTGTTGTGGCATACTGTATATGTACTGCTTGCTAGCAGTAGATAAGTATAAAAAATGGAGACTTTAATTCTATATTAAGAAAATATCTATAATATTCTTATACCACTTTTTATATTGGATGTTACAATCGGGTTTGGGTGGAGTCATCTTTTTACCCATGAGATAGATGGTTTTATGCCTGGAATAATGATACAGATACAGCTAAGTACTGGGAGTTGAACTTTTAGAAGGCAGTACTTTATAGTATAGTAGGGACTTTATTCAGTACAATATAGCACAGACAATATTGGATAAATTGATGTGTGTAAATGAATAAACCAAACTGCTTTGTTCAATGTCATTAATGAAATTACTAATGAAAAGCATAATGATATCTGTAAGCAAAACAAAAACAAAACAAACAAAAAACCTTTGCATTTCCGTAATGTACATGTTAACACAGTTTTGGCGATCATCATAAATTTAACAATTATAAAATCAGTGTCTGTCATAGTGAGCAAAGGGTCATACTAATCCACTTTTACAAATGCATCTGCACAGCATCATTGGCTTTAACAAGGTCTGGCATTTCACCCTTCATTGCCATCTGGAAGGACGTCTGTTCCATGCACTGGATGTTCAGCAGGTGTTCGGTCACACAGCTGGCATCTGTGTTACAGAATTAACTGTGTCCTTACCGAAGCTTACTGCTTTCCCTATTCATGCCACTTGATGCAATATTTAATGCTGTGTTTAGGATGAATAGATGTATTACTAGAAATATTGGGCACCCTCAATAGCAAAGAAAATGAAGTGTGTGTAATTAATTTGAATGAGGGTTACATAGACCTATATCGCATGTGAAGGCACTGTGACACAAGCTGTTACGATGTCCGGTGGACAGGGGCAACCACGGGGTCCTGGTGTTCCAACTTGAGTGCATAGAGGAAGCACGGGACACAGAGGGACACTGACACTAAGGGAGCAAAGAGGTGTCTGAAACACATGGTGCAGATACGTTTTGAAGTGCACACTCTCCTGTCTGTCTCTCCTCTCTCTCTCCCTTGACTGTCTCTTCTTGACCTCTCCCTTGGCTGTCTCTCGTTGCTCTCTCTCCTGGTTGTCTCTCCTAACTTTCTCTCCTGACTGTCTCTCCTTGCTTTCTTTCCTGGTTGTCTCTCCTCTCTTCTCTCCTGGCTGTCTCTCCTCGCTTTCTCTCCTCACTCTCTCTCCTGGCTGTCTCTCCTTGCTCTCTCCTTGCTCTCTCCTGGTTGTCTCTCCTCACTCTTTCCCCTAGCTGTCTCTCCTTGCTCTCTCTCCTGGTTGTCACTCCTCACTATGTCTCCTGGCTGTCTCTCCTCACTCTCTCTGCTGGCTGTCTCTTCTCGTTCTCTCCCCACTATCTCTCCTGGCTGTCTCTCCTCAATATCTCTCCTGGCTGTCTCTCCTCACTATCTCTCCTGGCTGTCTCTCTTCGCTCTCTCCTGTATATTCTACAAAAAAAATTGCCACGTGGTGCTAGAGTGTTCAGGTTTTGCTTAAAATAAAGGTGGCAACCCTAGCACAGTCCACCGCCAGAATGAAGGAGGTGAAGAGAGATGATCGCCAGGTGAGTGGGGATCAGGTAAGTAAAATGGCTTGGGGTTGGGCTTTAAATATGTTCCTCAATAGCCACCAAAGTTATAAATCCACTTTATGTTCACCAGATGCCTTTAAACACTCAAATATTACCTTATAAAAGTGGTGGTGACATTATTACTGTGCTGTACATAGCCTACCTGACCAATCTTTAAAAGAATGAGCTTAATAGTTACCTGTCCAATGAATGATAAGCCAAATCTTATAGACACCAGAACTCCAATAGTCGAATAACGTCTGTTTAATGACGTCCGTGCAAAAACATACTTATTGCAACGTTTCGGGGTCACGCAGGCTCTTTACTATGGATCGGCGGTCAGGAGTGCAATGGGTACATGGACCGTGACTAGGACATGTGACCATGCACATTAACTCAGGGGAGGAAAATGCCTTTCCCTGAGATGAGATTTCTTAGCAATGCTCTGCTGCTGTAATCTTCACAGTGTGAATTGCTTTGGCAAACTGAAGTCGTTTTGCCCTTTCAGAGCAGGAAGTGAATGCTCTGCAAGTGTAAGTATTTCAAAATCACAGCATTTTACACCTGACATGTCTGGTTATTATTAATCATCATACATAGAGGGATGCATTGGTAGAATTAGATTTTTTAATGTAAAGGTCCGCTTTAATGCTATATGATCTTTGAGGCTCCAGCACTGAACAGAATGATTCTGCTCACCTAGGCTGCAATGACACTAATGGCAGGTCAACAGGTTTTGGATCTGTAGATGGGCAAATGAATATTTCTTTTAGGTGCATTCAGCTGGGTCCCATATAACATGAACTCTGTGGAGGCACATTTCAGTATCATTAGCAGACAACAAATGGAAATCACCTACAGCTTTTAAGCCCCCCAAATCCACAACTTTTAATATAGTAATATCTAATATAGTTGTCCTTTGCTAATGTTCTTCTTGCATATAACTGAAGTATAAGTAAATTAAACTCTTAACTCACCAACAACAACTGGAAGAACTCTCATTGCTTTTCTCTCTCGCCCGTTGATCTTTGAGTGTTTTCGTTCTGGCTCCATACTTGATGAATATTTGAGATGAGGGTAAGCTATACTTTGTATTCCATGGCCATTGTCCACATATGCCTTGGAGAAAGGGCAGTCTGATTGGTCATACATAATTTCATCCAGCTTGCTGTCTGTAGGACTACGTTCAATCCTATCAATCTTATCAAATATGAGTGTTTGGCTTGGTGGCTTAGGTCTTGGGGACATGTGACTCCGTAACTTAGATTTCCTGGTTTCTTCCCACTTGCGGAGTCCATGAAACATTGCACAGTACAGTACTACCATTATTGGACATGGGATAAAAAAGGAACAGACAGAAGAATACACTACATAATTATTGTCTTCCAGTTTACACTCAGTTGGATCCCTGTCTTTGACATTATTCAGCCCAAAAATGACAGGGGAGGCCACAGCAAAGGCAAAAATCCATGTGGTAGAGATCAGGAAGAGTTGGCGGTTATCCACTTGTCGTCTGTTATAGTTCAGTGGGATTGAGACAGCTATGAACCTGTATAATAAAGAGCAAAATATTTTTAATCAGTAATAAAATAGGTAACATTCAATCTGCTACAACTACATAAAGCACGAGAATTATCACATTATTAAAGTATATCTAAAGCTAAAATGTTTTTAGCTTTGGACAGTCAAGGCAACTGGACTTGCTGTATTTTTCTTGAAGATGTTTCACTGATCATCTGACCAGCTTTCTCAATTCAGAATGACTTGTACAAAACTTCTCAGGGAATAAATATGGTGAATGTTGCTCCAATCCGCATAATATGTTAATTGCAACCAGATGTTGATTGCATTTGCATAAATAAGCTAGGAGGTGTTATTAACCTGCCCAGAGAGAGGTGCTATATGCAAAACAAGAAATTACATGAATATATCTCCAAAGTAAGGAAAATCCCCTCTTAGAAAGCTGTCACTGGAACTAGTGTACCCAATGGAAGATTTCCCCTTAATTCTTGTTATGGTGACAAGTAATCATTTTCGATTTTTCATCAATTTGAGTCCCCCTGACAGGCATCACTAGGGAGAGTGAATCTCTGTAATTGACTTAGCCAGCAATAAAAACCTGGCAGCAGTTCTAACCCTTTTATACCCTATCCAAAACAAAAATGTTTAGACTGTATACTATGAAAGAAGAGCTACATAACAATATGTCACTCATCGTCAGTGATGGGCGAATCTGCCTGGGTTTGACTCATGTGGGGAGGGTTGGGTATCCAAAATTAGTAGCGAATCACATAGAAATCTATTGTTCTGATACTAAATTCTGGCTATTTTCAATGCTTATGGTCAAGCTATTGTCAAAAACGGCATACATACAATACCATACACCTGTTCTTTTTAATGTGGGGGAAAAGTAAAAAACATCAGTCCTTTAAATTACATGCTTAGGAGATGCCTGCATGTAATGTTATGGAATAGAACAAAGCTAATGGACAGCATCAGCGACACTGTATTCTAGCCACACATATTTTGCATGTGTAACTGATTTTGTTTAGCTTTTACATATAGCTTGGTTTAAATATAGCAACAACACTACAATCTGATATTGTCCAACCTGAAAAAGGGTTTTTGGTAGTAAGCCTAAACTGACCAGTGGAAGTAGAAACCACAAAAGATCTACATGCCATAGGAAAAATTAAATTAAATTCCTTAGCTGTCTACAAATTAGTCTGTGACAAAACATTTTAGCAGTATAGCTAATGAGCTTCTTTTTATGCAATACCACACTGCAAAAGCTTACTAAAATGTTAAATCAAAGTGCGCAAAACTACTTCAAAACCACAAACCTATATTTCCCAAACCCCCTCCCATCCCCGTAGCTTGTAAAAATTAGAGCGATATTTGAGAAACAAAAGCCACAAATATAGTTCAATGGCTGGACAGTATGTAAGCAGCTTGGTTAGGCTGCAATATAAGAGAGAGAGAGAAGAGGCAGGATTTACCTTAAAATAGAAATTAGAGTGCATTATTTGAGAGATAGCAGCAAATATTTTATATTGACTGTGCTGTGCAGCTCCAGATGGCAGTGGGCATCAGCAAGAAAAGTACACTATAGGCACCCCAAGTCCAGCAGTCTGAGCTACACCTACCTAGGGCTAGGGGGAAGGGCAGGTAGCAGCAAAATGTAAATGTAGAATCCTGACCTCTTTCCTCAAATCAGGGCCAATAAAATCACAAGCGAGCATAAAAGGAGTGGTAGAAGAGTTGCTGCATGGAGGAAGTAGGTGGTGAGCATTGCTGATGTGACCTCCTCCCAGAGCCGTAGCTAGCTCCTTTTGCGCACGAGGCAAGAACAGAAAATTGTGCCCCCAAACAGATGTGTGATGTCACCCAAAGCCGCGCATGCACAGCATTATGTGACGTCATGCGCCCCGCCTCCAGGATGGCAGCGTGCATAAACAGTTTCTGTTCATTTCGTCCGAAACTAATTTTTAGCCTTTGCACATGTCTAATAATATGTGCATGAGTGTGTGTGTGAGTGTGTGTAGGGGGGGGTTATTTTTTTATCATTATTATTATTTTTTACTGTTGGGGGCTTCAGGGAAATATTAGGGGTCTAAACAGACCCCTGACATTTCCCTTTTGAAATAGAAAAACAAATTGAGGACACAGAGTCTTTTTTTTTGCAGCATCTGTTCTAAATTAATGGAGAGCACTCAGTACAGAGGCTTCCCATTCATTCACAAATTGGTGATAGTAAAACATGTACTATCCTCCAGTTATCAAAGGGTAAAAGCCCCTACAGTGAGTGCTTCCACCCACTGAGAAACTCTGTGAAGCACTTCCTGTTCATTCATAACTGGGGACAAACGTTGATCAACACCTGATACACAAGGCAGCTAGAATGACCACAATGTGGGACTTTCGCAAATCTTTCCAGAACTGATCTCGATATGTATATAATTGATATTCTTGGCATTTTTGTATATTTTTGCGTATTCTCTGGTGGCGTATTAGGGACAGCATGGGGGAACTTTATTATGTGTTGATGATTTCTTTTATGCAATTTTGTATGTGTATTTATAAATAAATCTTTTTTGATTTTAATTGTGCTATGGTTATGACACCTCATTAAACCCCAACTGTTTCTTGATATAAGGTGCCTTCAGACATGTGCATATCGGGGCAATTTATTTTGTTGATGTACATATTAATTCCCCTAAGCCTTTCTCCTCAGGGAAAGTAAACCTCCACTTATTATTATTTAGGTGTTTTTATGGGTGAATGTATTTTTTTAAATCATACACAACCCTGATAGGGAGTTTTTCCCCCCAAATCCCTCTTTAACTAGAAGATTTTCCAGAATGAGGCTTATCTTCCCCTTCGCACTCAGCTTTTACTATACCTACTGTATATACTCAACTGTCTGCCTATAAGTGGAAAAAAAATATCAGTAATGCTGAGTTGTTCTACTTTTTCATCCACAAATTTCAACAATAAGTGATATTCCCGTATTCCCCATCCATCATATATTTTATAAATCATTCCTGGTATAAACTTAGGATGCCCTGTAATAGGCAGAAAATATAAGTTCTTAAATTTACATTTACATTCTTGGTATCTTAAGAACAAATTCCATGCGTTTAGGGTGTCTATTAAAAAAAAAGGCAATCTCCAAATTTTCCTGTGGCATTCATTTTTCTTTGCATGTAGAAACAAGATAAACCCCCATATAACTGATGTTCCAATTCCAAGTCAATAAAGTTATTGTGAACATTGGATCAAGAGATTAAACAATATTATAACCATGGAAGAATTAACCAACTCTCTCAAGGACTCCTCTAAAAATTTTCAGAACACCTCGCATACTGGCAAAACCCCGCAGCCTGCAAGCTTAGTCTTGGTAGTTCCACTCCTTTCTTTCTGCCTCCTTCTGAGCCTTCCTCTCCACCTCTTTGAACTCTTTTTTTCCTTCCTTCCCTCCCCCTGTTGTGTTCCCTGTATGCCTTCTGCCTTAACTGTTCATACGGAAGTCAAAATGCAATTTGAAAGCACATTCTGTTGTATTATCTAGGTATCTCGCTGCCCTTTCAGGCAATTTGTAACTTTCCACCTGTATTACCTGCTTTAGTGGGCTTTATTTTGGTTGACCATTTACAATGACAACTCTACTTTGTATTAGTTGTTTAATTTTCTTGCTGATTATTATTATATTATTATTATACATAATATATATAGCGCCATCAGTTTGCACAGTGCTTTACAATATAAGGAAGATTATATATATATATATATATATATAAAAGGAACATTACAGTTACAATACAAGTCAAGACAAGATTGTAAGGCGGGCGCTGCCCGTGATAGCTTACAATCTATGCACAGTTTCTGTTTTAACTTGTATTTTTCTTCTGTTGACTGAAACACCATTGACAATATTTTGTATTGTTTTTATATTGCTCTAAATAAAGAATTTATAAAAAAAAAAAAAAAAAGAAAATTATCATTTTCTAAAAACCAGAAAAAAAACTGTTCTTACCAAGGCAGTTATGTTATAGCATGTGACATTTGGGAGTCCCAGTCCAATCCGTTCAGAGTTTAGTATTGAACCATTAATTCTACTCTTTTTTTCCACTCCAGGGGATGCATCTAATCCCCTTGTTCAATCTCAACATATCCTTCGTATGGATCAAAAGGGGTAGAAACTGAATCAAATACATCAATCTCTATAAAATGTTAGATTTCATTAAATTCATGACTAGCAGTAGATATAGGCAAAAAAAACGGAGGGTTTAGAACCCCTTTAAAGATAAATACAACTCTTCCCAATCCATGACTAGTTTAAGCACTGCATCTATCACAGGAGGATAGTTATGAGCATATATTTTATCCCATTTAGTGGCAAAATATAGTTACAAATATTGAAATCTCTAAATGCATTCCCTACCAGGAGGGATATACGCCTATTCCTATTTAACCATAAATATTCAGCCTTCACCAGATTATATAACCTGTGCAAAATCTAAAGCTTTCAGTCATATCTATGTTTTTGGTAAGTACATGCTTGGTTCAGAGTTGCAATTAAAAAATAAGAGATGGAAGTGGACACCCCTGTCTTGCTGCTTAAGAGATCTTATCATCTTAAATAAACGATTATTGATTATCAAACATACATTAGAGGTCTGATAGATGCTTCCCAGACATTATACAAAGTTACCCTTGAATCCAAATCTCTTTAGGACCTCTTTATTATGTTCCCATTATATGTTATCAAAAGCCTTCTCGGCAACACCAACGCCTCAAACTCTGGACCCACCCTAGTCTCAAAAGTTTCATAAGAATAAGAATTACTGCTAAAAATGTCTTCTATTCCTAAATGATTAATGCATAAATCCTGTCTGATTTTAATGAACCATGCTTCCAATTATATTCCTCAAGCACTTTTGTCATAGCGGACATCATCATTTTGAAATCAATATTTAATGAAGATATGGGGTGATAAGTAGCCACATCTTCTGCGTCCTTTGAACAAAGTTTCAAGATCAATACAGT